AAACATGTACTTCGTCTAATTCTTTGTTCATTAATTTCTTACCATTTAACCTCTAATTCGTTGTCTTTTTCACTTCATAAGAAGAAAGAGACGCATCTGGTGATCGATTAGAAGGAGAAGAATAAGGTTGTATTTGTGTTGAGACTTGTTGTGGTATAAACACGCAAAATCCGAACCGGAGGTTGTGGTGGTGGTTGCGATTTGTAGAGAAAAATAGGTGCACTATTCTCCTTCTTATGCTCTAACTAAACCCTTGAACATCCGTCTTCGAAAATTTGTGGATGGTACATCATATTGACCTCGATTGAATTGATTTCTTACCCTAACCTCATCATCTCATATTTGTAAACCCTTCGTCTTCTCCGATGAGCAACAAAAAACCCCTCCGATTTTGCACCGTTTTTCTCTTACAGACCCGATTTCTAGGTGTCTGGTTGTCGGCATAGTTGCAGAAGATATGAGAAGGTGAATGAGCGGATATATGATGGTGGTGCTTTGTCAGAAGTTGTCAGTCTCATTCTTCACCTGTACGCCACCGTCGGAAGTTGCCAACAAAATTTTAGATCAAGGTGGCGATGGTGTTTTTGGCTTAGTGGTGGTGTTGGGCTACTATGAAGGAGGTAAGAACAAGGGAGAATTGAAGACAGTCATTTCATGTCAATAGGGATTGAGTGCGCAAGAAAAAACAAATATAGGGATGATCCGGGTTAATTTTTAAAAATAGAGACTAAATACGCTTTCTAACATATGCATGAGGGATGAATAGTATAATTTACCCAATTACAAAGCCATAATGCAACAATATCTATTACTTAAAACTAGGTTGATTGGCTCCAAAAACATCCAGTTAACTATTTCTTTTTGATGTTTCGTTTGGTTGGCTAATTTCTTACTAGGCGATCCTGCCCTTTCTAAAAAAAATCCAGTGTTTGTAAACTTTTAAATTTAAATTTCTCATTTTGTCCTAGAAAAAATTATGTAAAATTATGCTCCTTTTGAAATCTAATTATGTGAAAAATCTAATTATGTGAAAACTAATTATAAGGTGTGTTTGGCAAAACTAAAAGTTTGATAACTAATTATAAGTTGGAGGCTGATAGGTAGTAGTCGGAAGCTATTATTTTTGCAGCGCAAAAATAGGCTAATAGCTGTTAGCTTTATACTGGGTCAAATCGGTCAAACTAAAGTTTTTTTCTTCTTTTTTTTTTTCCCGACTTTTTCTTAACTAGTAAACGGTTAACTTAGATAATCAAACTGATAAAAGAACCAGTTAACCTGTTAGAGTTTATGTTTACGTTTAATACAACCACCTCATATACCCACTGATTCTAGGTGAAGTTAACCATCTATAAAAAAAACCCTCCTATAAAGAGTACAAAAATAATCTCACCAAAACAAATTCACCAGAAAAAATTCAGAAGCGAAAAAACCCAAAACATATAGAATATATAGAAAATGACTTCAAAGTTCAAGTGATTGTCTCATTTCTTTTTGCATTTCACCATATTCCCTTTTAACCCAAAAAAAAGGCAGTCAAAAGTCAAAACCCACCAGGGTTGACTCAGTACCTACGAAACTGCGGGTCAAGAAAGACCCGATCAAACGGGTCACACATCCGGGCAGACGGGCACTCAAATTCCAAGTGCCCCCGCCCACCACAATTCCCACAAATAACCAAACGCACACAATCCCGACTAATATGACCCGCCCGCCCACAATTCTTACACATCATATCCCTAAACGGGTCATCCACCATTGACGACCCGCCCGACCTAACCACGTTCATATTCGACCCGCCCGCTTTGGGACACTGGCGTGCCACATGGCCCGATATGCTACAAACATTGCACACCGGGTCATTCAGGCAGTCACGGGCAAGGTGACCGGTTTTTCTACAGTTATTACACGCCTTCTCATTGGTACAGTCAGCAGCAATGTGGCCGGGTTTGTAACAGTTGCTACAAAGCCGGGCATCATAAGAAGACACACTCGGGTTATAACAATCACGAGCTAAATGTCCGATTTTACCGCACATGTGGCAGACCGGGTCGTTCGGGCAGTCACTCGAGAGGTGCCCGGATTTTTTACAGTTCCAACACATGGTAGTTGATGTACACTCGGCTGCAATATGACTACAAATAAACATTTTTTTTTAACATTTTAGGAATGGGTTAATGTCATAAAATGAAAACCAATAGTATTCAGTTTGCTCTTTAGGTCCCTCATCTTTCAATTGTATTCAATATGCCAATAATTTTTTTTTTAGTTTCTCTTTACACTGTAAACTGGTATTGAATCCTACATGGCGTCATAAAATTATTTTAGCATTCATAAAAATAAATAAATAAATAAATAAAGTCTATGTGGATACCATGTCAGCACACATGAACATGAGTGAACGAAATTTGCCATGTTGGAAGCCACAGGGGACACCACATAGGATTCAGTATGAGTTTATATGATTGAAATCCACTCCATTGGTGTAATGAGAAGTGGAGAACCCAAAAAGAAGTTTATTGGTCTACTGAGTACAATTAAATGAGTGACCTAAAGAGCAAATTGTATACTATTGGTTGTCATTTTATGACATCAACCCTTTTAGGAATTGAAATATTTTAAAATCTTTAATTACTGAAAGATGGTTGTTATAAAAGAATTAGTACCCTGGAAGTCCACAGTTGTTGCAGACAGTTACATTTGGACATTCTCTTGCAAAGTGTCCAGGGCGTTTACATTTGTTGCAGAGGTAATCTTGCCTTTTTATCAAAAGGAAAAGTTGTGATTCAACTATTGGATAAAAGTTATGAATGAACATTTGTAAATTTATATCTAGAATCATACCGATATGAAGGTCTATCTCTTTTGTAAGGTGCATCACGATAAGAAGATCTGTCTCTGCTTCTGAATCGCTTGGCAAGACCAGGGCTTCTGCTTCTGCTTCTGTCTCGGCTCATATTGAATCACTGCACATCAAAAGTACTCAAATGTAAAATGTACAGAAAACCATCATAGAGAAGAAATCACCTGAAGAGTCGATTCTCTAAATGGATCTAGAAAAACTAACAATAAAAACAGTTCGCAGTAATTCAAGGAAGACCTGAAAGTGCTATAGAGAGGAAGATGGTGATCTAGATCGTTAACCCAAACACTTTCAACTCAAATTTTCTTCTCTTAAGCAGATTGCGATTGGATTAGTAAATTGAATGCTCACATCATTCTCAAACACAATTTACAATAGGTACATTTCTAATTTGAGGTTTAATCGACTAATTTCAAGTTCAGAATTGACCAGCATTGTCTACGATTCTCGGAAAAATCAGATAACTAAACTAAATCTTACAAAGAAATAGAATGCAAGCTAAGAGAAATGTTGATGTGTGGTATCAAAATCCAAATCGCTTTTGATTGAACGGGGGGGATACATCGAAAAATTCAAATCAAACAGAACAGAACAGAGATTTAGATTCAGCTCACAAGTAAATCAAAAAGAACGAACGAATTGCGATCAGTGAGAGAACAGTGACGGACGTTTTTTAATCAAATCTAAAGCGCATGAGATAACACCATAATCAATGTTATTGAAATTCATCATGAACTAACCTTATTTTGTCGTTTCTCAGGTGAATTTTAACTGAAATTGAAGCGCCAGGTGGAAAGCTGAAACCCTAGATTCGCATACATTTAAAAGAATTGGGGAACACGAAGAACAAATCTATGAACGGACAAATAGATGAGCATGAGCTCACTGGTACAAGTATGTATTAGAAAGGGTTATGCGCATATTAGTCCATATACTTTTATTAATTTACATTTTAGCCTCTATACTTACACGCCTCGTATTAATTATCAATCAAGAGTCGGATCAGTTATGAATCACATTATCGTCTTAAATAAATCTTATTTGAGCAAACATGTTGGTGAAAACCCAAAAATAGTGAATACCATTTTCTTTTAATCTTTTGTGTATCATTTTGTTTGTAGATGCAAAGAATAAGATACAACCTCGTAAAAATTTCCACATACCTAAATACAAATAGTTTGCATCGCAATTGAAGTGTTACTGCTATTTAATTTTTCACGAGACAATCTCAAGAATCATTTCCACTGTTTTAAAATGCTTTTAATGCAAGAAACATAAACATTTAAATATATAAAAAAAAATGTAGCTCGTCTGGTTTAGGATCAAATAAATGTTTGCGAGGTTTGACAATGGAATCTTGATACTTGACTATAAAAACAAGAATGTTGAATCTGGTTCACTGATATTGAACCAACACAATGTTCTGATTACAGCCTGGGTTTCGTCTCATAGCCATAAGTCGTCCATGTGTATTGGTAAACAAATGCCAGATAGACCAATGTCAAATGCTTGATTTATCTGAACAAAGTCATAAATCTTGATTGTTGAAAAGATGGATGAACGGAAAAGAAGCTAGTAATTTTTAATGTTTAATTTATCTGATATTCTTTTTGTTTATCTAGGAAAATTGTATGCAAGTTAGCTTGGTTGCAGCATAGATTTAGATGTTACAACTAATGGCTGAATTGGGTTGGGATGTACTCATGTAAGTAAGAAAAGATAAAGAATTCACCTCAAAAACAAAGTCAAGGTGCCCCACAACACAAGCACCACACCTTGAGAAATATATACAACTCAATTATTATTGTTATTGTGATGTATTTGGAGACAAATCCAACTTAATTAAGATTAAAGTTGCAATGCAAGTAGCCACAGAAGGGTATTATCGTCCTTATTTTATTGTTCGGCCTTGCATAGGAAATCAAGTCTTTGGTATCAGATTTCAGGAACACCTTCAGCTATAACCAAAAGAACTCACCCCAACCCATGATTACCCCCATTCACATACCCAAAAAAAAAAAAAAAAAAAAAAAAAAATCTTTTCAATGAATGTTACAGCTTTGCAGTAGAAATATGAGGCAACAATCTGTTGAAATAGTTTATACATAAATACTAAAACACACTAAAATTAGTAAGCAGGTTACCACCATCTACTTTGTATACAATATTCTATTCTCATCCAACAAGAACATGTACACTTCCTACTTGCCATCTGATGTTGAATATCTTCCAATCTTGGCCTACACACAACAATTTCAGAAAACAGATCTAATCTGAGAAGCTATATAATATAATATAATATATTGGTGTTTATTTTTTAAGATAATAACAAAAACTGACCACAATTGTTGGGTCTCATTCAACAAACTCACCACCATTTTACCCTTTAAACAAAAGTACCACCAACTCCACAAATTGCAAAATTACTTTTACCGACAAAGGTTGCAAAAAGCTTTAATTTTTACTTTTTATTTTTTGTATATACTTACAATTTTTTTTAATTATTTACTTAAAGAATAATTTACATTATTGGTCCCTGAGCACAGCTGGCTCTTTCATATTTAGTCAAAAAGATCTCTTGCAGTTTTGGTACTTATTTGAGGTTTATGTAACATTTTTTTTGTCTCTATTCCAAGTAAAGCAACATTATTTTTTGGGACCAAAAACGTTGCAATAAAGAAGAACCTCAAATAAGGACCATAAATTGCAAAGATAACCTTTTCAACATAAATTGCAAAAATCAGCTAAACTATACTCAGGGGACCAAAAATGTAAGTAACATTTGGTTATTTTTCAAAGATTTTTAGTTCTTTGGGCACCATTCATAAAGCAATTTACAATTCTTAATCAACCCTATTTGCCAAATTTGATGGTTATTTTGTTTAAAGGGAAAAAAAAGCTGTCACTTTGTTAAGACAACCATACTATTTTGATTATTTTAGTAGTATTATTCCTGATTTTTGACTTGATGCACATAGAACAGCTTAATACAGAAAGTCAAGGAAATGAGGTTTTAAATTACTTACCAAGAGTCTTCAATGCAAAAAAGACATTCATGTTCAGATCTTGTTTTTCACGAGGTCCGTTGCTCTCTTGATCCACTTACGAACTGCTACCCACCACTCTAGTTCTTCGATGATCTTCACCTTTAAAGCTGCAGAGGCATTGGACCTTAAGGTAAGATTTATCATCTTTTCAAGGAACTTCGTTGTGCAGAGATGCTTCTGATTTAATCTAAAAAAGAGCCTCGGACTATCCTTTTCATTAGAGAAAATGATCCCCAGTTCAGGATCCTCAGTTGGTCCTCGGTGTCTGTTTTCAATTCCTTCAAGATATTGGTTCATCTCTTTGGGTGGATTATCCACAAAGCTATCAAATCGTTCTGCATCAATGCTGCCAAGATCATAGGTCAAAGACCTTAGAAATCTCTGGATTTGGAGAAAGGGAAATCGGGAAGGTTGATGAGTGAGGAGTTTGGTCTGGAAGTGTTTGGCAATCATGTATAGGTCGTTGGGATTGAGGTTTGGAAAATCGGCTTCGGAGAAGAAATATTTTTTGTTATCGCTTCGCACCACTTCGAAACTGAAGTAGTCTTCCTTCTGAAAAGACCTCTTCTTATATCCCACAACTCTTATGATCCTCCGAAGAGACCATACATCTTTTGGGGGCTGAGCATGAGCCTTGAAAAACTCCTCTAGTCGGTTCAGCTCAATTGGGATTTGCATTTCCCTTGAGAGGTGTGGATGCAGTGGTGGGAAAACTGAATAATAGCGTGCATTTGGAGACATGGGTATATCCCACTGATATTCATCGGAGGCAGGAGGAGCTGCAGTTTGTTTAGGCACGAGTTCATCATCCTTCAATTGTTTGATAACATAGACCAAAGGAGATAAAGCGTGTTGCTCCTCCTTACTTGAGTTCGCCTGAAAGAAATGTGCTGCTGCCACCTCATGTTTCTTATCTTCCTCAGACACTCGAAAGGACTTCATCTGATTCCGACTCACTTCAGGAACCTCCAAAGGCCTTTTGCCTTTACCTTTACTGGAAGCTTTTTGGGTTTCAGGTAACATCAGAGCTATTTGGGTAGGAGGCATGACAAATGAAGTGGGAGGAGATGGCGGAGGAATTGTGGTCTTTGGAGGTGGTTGACGTCGGGATACCTCATCTATCTTGGGAGAAGGAGAAGTTTCTGTTATCACCACATTTTCATCTTCTCCAGCTTCAACCACCGATTTTGAACCTTTTAAGTTCTCTATCAGGTCAAACACTTTTTGGAACGATTGAGGAACCTGTTTGCTTAGCTCCTCATTGGACAGAGTCTTTGGAAGTACATCCACAGAATTTTGAATTTTCTGGATGGCAAAGAGGATTTCATCAAATCTTACATTACGGGGTCTTAGCAGTTGTTGTGCAGACTGTATTACTTTAACCAAAACAGCCTGAAGAATTATATTTTTGTTGCGATAATCACAGAGCTGCTCACTTAAACGGACAATCTCATCTCCATGTTGGTGGCCCACAGTGTTGGTGAGGTGGTCATACGACTGTTGAATTTCCTTCACCATTTTCAACATCTCATCCATCCGATCCAAATACTTAAATGTGTCATTGGTCCTCTTCTGCTCCATTTTCTTCAGAGCATCTGCAGTAGATTTGACAATTGATTCCCGAAGCGTCTTTTCCCTTGTCTCAAGATTAGGAACCCTTTGGGCTAAGGATGTCACAACCTTCTGCATTTCCACAAACTCTTCCTTGTTCACAAACTTCTCCTTAGATGGAGGGATCTTGTTTACAAGCTCAAGAACCTCAGACAACTTCTGGTTGAGGGAATTAAATTCCACCCTGGAGACATATTTGGACTTCTTCTTCTTCTTCAGTTTAGTGCGTCTGACAGTGGTGGTTGGAAGAGTGCTGGTGTCTCGTTTGGGAAGTTCCTGACTTTCAGTTTCTGAAGTTGCCAAGAAAAGAGTAGATTTGGAGGGTTTGATTGTCTCCATAATGGAGTGTGAATCAGAGTCTTGGATGAGTCCATCATCAGCAGCAAACACAAAGTCCTTTTCCATGTCTTGAGCAGACTCCATACCAGTCTTTGTGAATGGGTCCAAAGACTCCTCACAATGGATGGCAAGCTCAATAAGTTTATCCGTGGTCGGGACCCTATCTTCCTCTTCCCTCTGTTGTTGCTCCTCAAGCAACATTCCCACTAATTCCATTCGCTCCTCTTCTTTCTTTTCCCCAGCCTCTCTTAATTCACTAAGAACCTGTTGCAATTGGTTGGTGGCAACTTGTTCTTTCTCAGAAGCATTCTTCTCCAGCCCTTGTATACTTTCATCATTGTTTATTAGATCATGACTTTTTTCGACACTCACATCTTCCTTTTGAGAGGAAGGGGGTTGTGTATGTGTTATATTCCAATGTTTTTGTGAGACATCATCTTCGTGAGTGGATGAAGAGGTAGATGACTGTGACCCAACGGTAGATCTTTTTTCAGCATCCTTCACCTTTTGAGATTTTGTGGGTTGTCTTTTGGCTTGAGGAGAAGGAATGGTGTCACCTTTTCTTTTACCAGTAGTCTTCTTTACTTTCAAGGCATTTTTCTTTTGTTTTGTAGGACTGGAAGTATGTTGTGAGGGTTGGGTAGGGAGTTCAGGTTCTGGAGGACCCGTTTCCTCTATATGTCTGATGAGAACTTTGGAGTTCTTTTCAATATATTGAAGCATTGCTTCGGGGAGACGAGCAACCTTCACAAATGCAGATTGATTTGGGATAGTATGCCTGGATAAGGCACGAGGAGTGAACATCTCCTCTTCTTTAGGTAATGGGATCTTCAGCTTGTTATACACACTTTGGAGTGCAAGTGCCCAAAACCTTGCACAAGGAATTGCCTTCTTCTTTGGAAAGACATAACTAGTAAAATCACTCCAGATAGTGGTTCCAAAGTCCACTTCCTTCCCAGTGTACATACCAAAAATAAGTACAAGAAGCTGCCTACTTAGCATGTCAGTTCCTGCAACCCTTCCTGAGAGGCACCGCAGAATGATGTGAAACAAAAAATGCCACATGCCTGGAAGCTTGCCTTTCCTGAAGTTTGAAAACGACTCAAGCTTTGGAGGTAAATACCCCATTTGATCAAATACATCAAAGATTTCTTCATTTGTGGGTTCATATAACGTCTTTTTTTCCTTGCTCTCTGGAAGGCCAATAGCCTCCAGGAACTCAACCTTAGACAGTTTGGTGGTCTTATCTTTATTGATGTTGAACTCAATGTAGTCTTCCTCAGAGTTATAGACAGCAGTGGAGTATGCCTTATGAATGATGCTTAAAGGAAACTCGATTGATTTAGTCAAGGGTTTGTGAATAGGGTGACTTTTTAGAAACTCAATCATTATATGGAGGGTAGGGTCAAACTTTTCAAGGTCAAGGTCTGCCTTAAGATTGCAGGAACCAACATGCATTGCGACTTCTTGGGAAGAAGGTCCCGTCCTGGTCATCACCATGATTGGATTTTAGAGCAAATGGAATGAACACACGAGAGAACAGAGTGAAATATCAGAACTGTTGGAGAGAGAAATTAGGTGCATCAGGTTAAGAAGACAGGGCTTTGCTTCTGAATGACTTGGCTAAACCAGGACTTCTGCTTCTGTCTCGGCTCCATATTGAACGCTGGGCAACAAAAGTATTCAAATGTAAAATGTTCAGAAAGCTACAATTTAGCAGTGGAGAATACAAGTAAGGAGTCGGTTCTCAAAAAGGATCTTCAAATATTAACACAAAAACAGTTTTTTATAATTCAAGGAAGTCATGTAAGTGCTATAAACAGGCAGATGGTGACCACTGTTTACGACTCATGAAGCAATCAAGCGCGCACATCATTCAAACACAGGAGGTACATTTTTTATTTGAGGTATAATCGACTAATTTCAAGTTCAGAATTGATGACCACTGTTTACAACTCATGAAGAAATCAGATAACTTCACTAAATCGTGCAAAGAAAAACAATGCAAACTAATAGAAATGTTGATGTTAAATTGGTATAAGGATCCAAATCCATTCTGATTTAGCGGAGGGTATATTCAAAAATTCAAAGAACAGAACAGCATTTTGAATCAGCTCAAGAGTGACTCAAAAGAACGGACGAATTCCGAGTAAGAGAACAGTGACGAACTTTTTTTTATCAAATCTAAAGCGCGTGACACAATAATGTAATCATGTCGTTCATTTGATCATGGACTAACCTTAATTTGTCGTTGTCTTAGGTACACTTCAACTGAAATTAAAGCGCCACACCGAAATCTGAAACCCTAGATTCGCATACATTTGAAAGAATTGGGAACAAGAGAACAGTAGTATGTCGAGGACAAATAGATGAGCTCACTGATAGAGTGCCGTGGACCCGTGGTATGTACTGGAAACGCTTATGTTCATTTTAGATCATATACTTTTATTAAATAACATTTTACCCTCTATACATTTAGGTAGGCTTTACAATCAAGTTGGGTTCGGGTTGACGATTTAAAAAACATAAACTCAACCCAACCCATATAATATATGGGTTGGCGGGTCACGGATTGACTGACTGAAAATCCCAACCCAACTCATATAACCCATTTAAGTATATATAGGTTCGTAGATTCATAGGTTAGTGGGTCGAACCCAATCCGTATAACCCATTTAATAAATAAGCAACATATTTTCAAAAAATAAATTTTTTCAACATAAAATCATAAAGTCATTCACATTCAAATAAATTTGAAAAATAAAAACATTCATACAAACTGCAACTCTTCAAAAATATCTAAAAACCAATTTGATAGTTCATTCATGCTATAATTCTTACTTCTTCCTCCAACACTAACTTCTTCATGATCATCAAAAAGTTCAATTTCAGTTTAAAATCACAGATTCACAGTAGGGAATTACCTATTTAGGAAGAAATTTCATAGTGGGTATATGGTAGTTGATGCATTGTTAATCACCGGTCGACGGAGGTGGGTCGATTTAGGGTCGAAGCAGGAGCGAGTGATAAAGATAGTGGTCGATTTATGTGTTTTCCGATTTTTCTCTCGTCATTTGGTGGTATGCGACAGTGCGAGCTGAGTAGCCGATGAGCTGACATCATGTGGGCTAGTAAGTGATCGGCAAATCAATGAGCAGGTGACAGTGTGAGGACGTAAGGAGCGGTCATCGACCAATGGTGGTCTGGTGGATGCGTTCTTCGTCATCGACCACAAAAAACTAGTCACATGATTATACCAATACAAAATGAATACAATGATACGAAATATTACGAATACAGAAGAAAATTAAATTTCATTAATAACTAAGTATATATTTTTTTTAAATGTAATATATATATATATATATATATATATAATATATATATATATATATATATATATATATATATATATATATATCTTAACAAGCATTTAGCCTCAAATGTTGAATTTTAAGAGGTACACCCCTTAAGCCATCATATACAACAAGGCATTGCAGAGTAAATAATCCGGTCAAACAATTGAAAAGGTCAAAGCTAAGGGGCGGGTCGTAAGCTAACAAACTCTTCTAAATTATAAATCTGCCAACATTATTTCCGCACATTCAGCCAATTGAATCGGTCAACATGAAATACGCTATATATTGCATATTCTCTCTCATCTCAGTCAACACGACATTTCCTTCAACCACTCACCATCTCAATCTTTTTCAAGATCAGAAAACCCTAAGCAGGGCCGGTCCAAACATCTTGCAAACTAGACAAACTTAATGGTTTGAAAAAAATATGCATAGATCCTTTATAGATTTAATTGAAGACGTCAAAAAAAATTTGTTTCTTCTTTTTCTAGCTTCCAAAAAAATGTTTTTTGGAAAACATTGTAGATTGTAAATAGTTAAACACTATCTAATTATGGGAAAATATTACATCTGATTTTTGGTATATGATTTATGTCTCAAAGTTGTAGAAGCCTAATATCATATTCAATTTAAATCAATGTGCAACTGCAAATTAAAATCAGAAACAAACAATCAAACATCTGAAAATTAGAATTGGATTTAAAGTTTTGAATTCTGAATCATATATCAACAAAAAAAATATTACCTTCTTTAGTAAAAAATCTAAAAAGTAGGTAGAAGATATAAAGTCAAGTATCGGGAAATCTGAGAACATCCAAAACCAGAATATATATATATATATATATATATATATATATATATATATATATATATATATATATATATATATATATATATATATAAGCTTTCAGCATTTGATTAGATACCAGGAGTAGGAACGTGAATACAAAATAATTTTTTTGTTCTGAATCAGATCTCTACCAACTCTCTCTTTTTGTTCATTTACTCATTACTTGAAATCTGTAATTATTTTTTTGTTAAAATCATCATCTGGAATCAGTTACTGGGACCTTTGTTCCGGCACAGAACATCTCCGCTACCACTCATGCACCTCTCCTTCTCACAACCTATATCATCATTAGATGCTTCTTTGTTTCCTCTCAGCTCCGTGATTCTTCGTCGTCATCAGGTTCCATTCTCTTCTGATCATGGAACAAGGTAATTATTGCATTGTGTTGAATGTATTGTTCTTTTAGGTATTCAACATACAGGGGAATTTCAATAGAATAATGCTATAAATGGAAAGGACTTCAAGTATGTTTTTTTAGTTGCCAACAGTGCCCTCAATGGTCAAAATGACAAAGAAAAATAAGAAAAGGCAAGGTTGTTGAAGGTCAGTGTCAATCACATGAATGTTAATTTTACAAAAATGTCATTTTATTCCTAATATCCATATCTCATCCATTACCTACACTATTATAGGGATACATACGAGGCATCAGACAAGTTTACACTAAATATTTTACAAATAAGGGTTTGACAAAGAAACAAGTGGCAATGGCTACATATCTCATTGATAAATTAGCACTTAGAGCAGGAATCGAGAAGGTAGTATTGCTATCTATGAGAGAATGGAATTCAAGATTCCATTCCACCTTAAAATCCATATTTGATGGATTTCACATTTATGCTTATGAGATGATGATGAAGCTGATACAGTTGATTGTTGCACATTGAAAGTAGAAAACATTGAGCCACAACCTCCAAATATCCTCAAGGTAACTTATGCATGAAAATATTCTAAAAATGAAAAAAAAAAGGGTAATTTTGACTTTTGATGTTTTTTCCAGTTTGACTTTCTTGGTAAAGATTTAATAAGATACCAAAACGAGGTTGAAGTTGAGCCACTGTCTTCAAAGCAATCAACAATTTCGAACATGTGAGTATCAGCCTTCATTATAGGGCATTTTTGCTTTTTTGATGATAGGGATGAGGACGGCGTTAACGTCCTTTTGGGATTAATTGCATAAATAAGGGAAGAAGGGTAATGAAGATCATTTTGACAAGCTGGATACAAACACATTGAATGCTTATTTAAAGGAACTCATGCTTAGCTTCACATCTAAAGTTTTATATTCATATAATGCATCCATCACACTGGATGATATGGTAACATCAATACTAACATCACTTTTTTCATTTGTGTTATATTAGATAAATTAGGGTAAATTTATAAAAAGTTAAAACTCAATGGGGACGCCTCTTTTCCTGTTGTGTTGCAACAGATACTTGATCCTTCTCTTTAAAAAGAACTAGCACCACTGTCGACCTTATCCGAGGCCCCTTCTTGATCTTCTTGGGTGCTGCTGTTGATGTTAAAAAAAAAACTTCTAGAGTAATGAACATTATGCCCTTCAATGTCATTTAAAGCTATAAACGGTGGGTCCTATCTCAAAATGAAGAAAAAATATGAGAATTGTTTAATAAAAAGTTAAATTGGTATAAACAGAGTTTTTTCTAATGTTTAGTACGAGCAACAGAAAAAGATACCCAACATTTTGTAATTACTTAGGCTGGATGTGAAAAATAGATATTTAAGGTTTTATAATTACTTTGGTTGAAATTCAAAAAATAAAGGTTTTCCTAAGTTCAAGAAACAAAAAGTAATGGTGTTGAAGCTTTAACAAGTGGTTGTGGATACACAATTAAGTTTTCGAGTGTGGATATGTAGGATGAGGAGTCTTATAGGGGCCCACAAAGCGATGATTTGGTTGGGATTTTTATTTCGGTTACTGAGAATCAATATGCATTGGTTTTTGACATCGGCTTGGTAGTCAAGTAATGATATTGAAAAATGCAAAAGGAAAAAGGAAAAAGCGCTAAATGCATGGAATAACAACATACTTTCATTTATTTGTACTGGTAGACATGATTGTTTGTAATCTTTTTTAGGGGTTATGACCTTCCTGGTGTACTATGTGAGGACAACAGCAACCGGAAATGAAGACACTGCACTTATAGGGATAATTCCAAAATTTTCAAGCAACCCCTCTGTAAAGGCAATGTACTTATGGGGTTATACCAACAATAGCTTCAGAATATTCCAAAGTCTTCAAGCATACATCAGACCACAAAGTGTATTGCCCCAGCAAAGAGGAATACGCTCCTCCTATGCATGACGACAATGTCATTATGGGGCTATTCCAAAAAATTGCATCAAACTATTCCAAAGTCTTCGAGCATACATTAGACCATCAGCAATAGATAACCAGTAATAACACTGAACTAACCAAATATATAACATAAAACAGTGTCTCTCAATAAAAAAACTCTAGCCTCCACCACCGTACCACTATTTTCCACTGTCACGTACCCTATCTCTCTCTGTCTCCCTAAAAACCTCATCACTACTGCCACATGTGAGTTTCTCTAAAAAGAACCAACATGACTGCTGAGTTTCTCCATCTCTTTAACTGTATGTGAAACTTGGTATGTATGTTTACAAGTCCTAAATGGACTGTTGGTTTTAGTTTTCACTGATTTCTTTGTTTGGTTTGGTTGCAGGTTTAACGAAGTTTCAACAATCCAATCGTCAATTGGGTAAGTCTATTTTCTTTATTTTGTGTTGGTTTGGTTTCCCAACTATGGTTGCCATTTAAATTTGATAATTATTGGTTTAGCTATATCTCTCTTTCAGGTTTTTAGTACTCATTTTTTTCTGATGTAGACAATCTATATGAAGTAATCTACATACAAGAGCTCTCCAAAATTTACCAATAATTGAAGATCAAACCTTGAGAATATAAAGCATGGAAAACTCAAGTCAGACTAATGGTTTTCTACTATAAGTATTAGTGTTGTTGTTAATCAACATACATCATCTCTTCACACTTCAGTATTTTATAGTCTTTAGATATCATCCACCTTATGAACTTTAGATATTATCCACCTGGACATATGATGGCCGCTTTGCTTCCTTTTGTAGTTCGGTTTAACTTTCTATTTCTTTTTTATTTGTACTCTGTCCCAAATTTTATTGACAACTTTCAAGAGATTTATTATTTAAAATAAATTGTGGATAAATACTTAGACATAACTAAGTAAAATAAGAATCATTGTTTATGTTTATAAATGACATTAGATAATAGTATTTAATGCGTTTAATGTTGCAAACAAATATCCTTATTAGACTTTTTGAATAAATGGCCAAAAATATCAAAATTAAAACATAGTACAAATAAGTGTTAAGTCATAACCTAAAATCAATCGTAAAAGTTATTTAATTAGAAATAAACGAAATTTGGGCCATCTCCAAATGGTGTTTAATAGGAAACCAAATTGAAGGAATACAATATAATAAAAGGAAAAGAAATGTTATAGAAAAATAACATTAAATTCTATTTTTCATCTACCCAATTCCTAAAGAATATAAACATAATGCATAACAAAAAATCGATTGTCCAATTTTGAATAGTATTCGATCAAAAAACAATTTTCATTTTTTACTATCCATTCCGATTTGTTGTGATTTGAACAGATTTAAACATTGAAAAACAAATCATTGAATTGGTTGCGGACAAAACAATGGATGTGTTCTTTAGAATATGACATGTTTTTAAAAGAAATTATTCGACAACTATGGGGGACATGATTACATTAATGAAGAAAAAGATTTTTTTAAATGTGTTATCATGAATTAGAAACGGTCTATTTTCGACAATGGATGCAACATATAAAAACACTTATCCAACATACACAAAAAAGACTAAGGTCCCGTTTGATAGTTGTTAAGTGCGAAAGTGCTGACTGGAAAGGTCTGTCTGGATAAGAAATATTGACTGAGTAAGAAACCATGTTGTTTGATTGTATATCTGACTAAATGTACCAACTAATGAAAAATGATCATTTTACCCTACTGCTCTCCTCTACAGATGAAGTTGTTGAAGAGTTATAAAAACATACATTTTAAGCATAAATTTGATTCAACATTTAGAACAAACCATACATCTAATATTTTTGTACCCAAAATACCCCTACTCATGAAAATGTCATAAATAACAAAACAAATCAACAATACACCAATTAGCAATCCAAGACCATTCATTGAATCAATTTCCTCTTGATGTAGATATTTCAAATAAATCTTCAACTTGGAAGACAATGCCACCTTTGCAACACTTGCTCCACAGGCAGCTGCTAATATGGATGACCCGATTAAGATTCTTCCATGAACAGTGACCTCTCAATCAGTTGGGTAAACTCTCTTACTTCAAAATCGGGAATATGTTGAGTTTTTATGGTCAAACAAGACCTTTTTCAATGAAGATGAAAATCAAGAGTGAAAACATCTAATTAAAGAAAATATTAAACCACAAGCAAAATACAAAGTTAAAAACCTGGTAATTTATATACACATAATAACTATACAAAACATATGGAGCTTTTATCCATCTATAGAGTGAAAGCATAGCAATGAGCAGAGAGCTTCTTAACAGGCCATCAACATCAAAATCAAAAATCAAATAAAATAGAAATAAAAACAAATCATCACCAAATTAACCCTAGGTTATGATATTGGTTGAACAAATGTTGTTAACTTCTTCTCATATGAAAAGCAATCAGAGGCATGCCATAATTACATAATCTACAAAATTAATAAGCTTTAACACAAATCATAGGAAGTATGACCTCATAACAGCAAAAACCCAATTGAGAACAACAAACATAAAGAGAAACATAAACAGAGCAGCAAAATCGGTACTTTAATGAGAAGAATCAGAACTTTGATGAGAAAAATTGGAACTTTAAAATCAGATAAGAAGAATTGGAGGCGTACCTGATGAGAAGTAGAGAAAGAGTCGATCGGTGGGGGGCAGAGGCACAAATCGTCGACAGTCAAACGGATTTAGCTAACCGAGTCAACCAAAATTGTCTGACCCAACTCGGTCAGACCCATATCAAACATGGCCTAATACATTAAATTGTCCGTCGAAAAAAACCAATCGATGAATTGAAAGTAATGCTTATTGATATAATGTTTAGCAACCATCATTGTAAAGTAGCTTCATTTAAACACTTAAATTATATATAAAATTAGTAATGTTTAGCAATTTTCATTTTAAAGTAGCTTAATTGAAATACTTAAATTATATATAATTGGTATTTGTAAGATAAAAGTGGTAATTACATCCATTTTTGATTGTAGGTTTCACTTGATTTAAAGTTATATGTAATTGCTGAAGTCAGGATTATTACCTTAGATCTAAACTTCAACATGAAACTTATATTGCCGATGCTTGTTATATCTTGAATATTCACATTTTTATCTTTGTTAATTTTTTCTTTAATTTAACTAAATGCTCAATAATATTATATAAAGTTATGTTTAAATAATTATTTTGGTAAATAGTTTTTTAAAGACCCTTTAATTGATTTGGGGCTTGGACTAAAGGAGTGACAATAAACATATCATCAATAATAATCTCTTTTTTCGATGGAAAATCAACAATAATTTGTGAATTAGAAGTAATGTATTTGTATTTTATTTTTCTCTAAAATAGGGATGATAGAATCATTTTTAAATGGATAATTTATATCATGTTTATGGACATAAATTAATTCAAACCATTGAAAAAATAAAAAGTAAATTTTATTTGATTAAACATAACCCAAATAAAAAAAATCTTAAGTAATATGAAAAAATTTCTTCGTGTCAAGCTCCTTTCTGATTATTGTATTCTTTATAATATTCAATATCATTTAAGTTAATCAAAATCAACTTGATATTCTAATTCTGAAAAATTCATTTCAACATGTTTTGATTAAGATTGACGAAATATTTTTTATTGATTCTAAATTATAACTCCTGCGACTATTTATATTCCTTGATCCCTATGAAAACATCCCAAATGGCAATAAGTAATGACAATCGATGAGATAAGTGGGCTACTTTCATGCCATATTGTAAGCCGTAACAGCAAGCTCCACTTGCAAGAAAAGAAAATAGTAACTAACTGGTTTTGGTTGAGTGAGCTCAAACACATACATCATTATTTACGTCCACCACCTCTACACTCTAGTGAATAGTGATGTTGAAGATGAATTCTTGGTCCCTGAAGTTTTAGTTTTTGTTCAACTCCAAGTTGCCAGCCATGTAGGAATGATGTCACATAACATAAAAGACACGATTCATCAAAATTAAATTGCCACGTAGATTATCACCAATTTCTCATATGTTGTTTCCCTTGATCCAGAGGTTTCAAATCAAGTGGGGACCACAGCTCCAGGCAGCATCTTTGAGTGCTTGCTTCATTTTTAGCTTGTGCAGACTCCATTTCACCACCACTTTTGGCTCTCCTCCCTACTTTTTGGTAAATAAAAGATTAAGCAGGAATTATGATATTTATTACCCTTCAAAACTTTGGAAAGGGAAAATTGCAATAATGTATAAAGAAAATGTACCTACATTGGTATTCTGAGTTACATATTGTTATTATCATTAAAAAAAAATTAAGTACATTGCTATTAGAAGTAAAAGGGTTGGTGTCTTAATACATTAAGCCAGGTTTTTTTTACTTAACTCATTAAGTCATTCTATCCAGGTTAAGTAAAAAAAAAAAAAAAAACAGTCCGCATAGCTGTCCAGATTAAGTGCTTACACATCAAACCAAAAAGAAACATCCCCTTGAGAAATATATACAACTAAATAATTATTGTTATATATAGGAGGTCAGGTACCTTCATAGATTCCACCTGTCAGGCTGTCACATGCGTGATTGTGTTGTATAACTCATTAGACATCCCACCCTGTATTTGTAGTTGTATTTGTATTTGTATTTGAAAGAAGAAGCTTAAAATTATGTCTCACAATTGAACTTACTAATAAAACAACATGATCAACTAAAGTCAAACATGTTTACTTACAGTTACAGATATGGAGGGAGACAAATCCAATAGAATCCAGGGCTGTACAATTTGCATTATTGTAACAACCACCACCACACCAACTGTTGCTGAACCAATAACAACCCATGATTACCCACCCCCATACACACATATATGACCACACCACAAGAAATGAACCACTCCCATCAAAGAATGTTTACTCTTTTGCTATTGTACCAGACAGAGAGCAAAAAGACTACTTAATAGTAGCAAAAGAGAAACAACACTAAAATTAGTAAACAGGATACCACCATCACCATGTTCTTGATTCAAGAACAAAACACCATTACTACACCCCCATGAGACGACTTCTTCTAACTTTATCAACAATATTCTGTTTCACTTGTTAGTCGAAATCCTTGATTCTGTATACTTCCCACTCATGATGTGAGGTCGAATGCCTTCCAATCTCAGCCTACACACAACAATATTTTAATCTCATAAGCTATAATATATATACATATGTTGGTGCTTATTTTTTTGGATAATCACAAAAAATGATCACCATAGTTGGGTCTCATTTAACAAACTGACCACGTTTTTACCCTTTTAAACAAAAATACCGCCAATTACTTTTACTGGCAAAGGCAGCCAAAAAAAAAAATTCTTTTGCAAACTGTCAGTTACAAAATATGATTTTTTTGTAGATACTTATTTATTAAGTAATTTACATTTTTGGTCCCTGTGTATAGCTGTTTTTTTTTTTTTTTTAACTTTGTTCAAAAAGAATTCTATTGCAATTTTGGTACTTGAATGTTTCTGTAATGTCTTTTTTGTCTCTATTGCAAATAAAACGACAATATTTTTGGTACAAAAGTGCAAAAATTAGCTACACTCTGGACCAAATATAGGCACTTTATTTGGAATAGGACCGAAAACGTTACAAGAACGGGAGTAACTCAATAAGGACCAAAATTGTAAGATAACTTCTTGGAATAAAATTGCAAAAATCAGTTACGCTATACTCAGGGACCAAAAATGTAATTTATTCTTAGTTATTTTTTAAAGTTTTTTTTTGTTTTCATGGGACCATTAATAAAGCAATTTGCAATTGGCCCAATTGCCAAATTTGATGGTCATTTTGTTTAAAGAGGAAAAAAGTTGTCAATTTGTTAAACGACCATACAATTTTGATTATTTTAGTGATTATCCCTGATTTCTCACTTGATGCAAAAAGAACGACTTAATGCAGAAAGTCAATGAAATGAGGTTTTAAATTACTCACCGATAAGATACGTATATCTAGTGTTTTCAATGCAAAAAAAGACATTCTGTTGGACCATGTTCAGATCTTGTTTTTCACGAGGTACGTTACTCTCTTGATCCACTTACGAACAGCTACCCACCACTCTAATTCTTCAATGATCTTCACCTTTAAAGCTGCAGAGGCATTGGACCTTAAGGTAAGATTTATCATCTTTTCAAGGAACTCCGTTTTGCATCGATGCTTCTGTTTTAATCTAAAAAAGAGCCTCGGACTATCCTTTTCATTAGAGAAGATGATCCCCAGTTCAGGATCCTCGGTAGGTCCTCGATGTCTGTTTTCAATTCCTTCAAGATATTCGGGTGGATTATCCACGAAGCTATCAAATCGCTCTGCATCAATGCTGCCAAGATCATAGGTCAGAGACCTTAGAAATCTCTGGATTTGGAGAAAAGGAAATCGGGAAGGTTGATGAGTGAGGAGTTTGGTCTGGAAGTGTTTGGCAATCACGTATAAGTCATTAGGATTGAGGTTAGGAAAATCGGCTTCGGAGAAGAAATATTTTTTGTTATCGCTTCGCACCACGTCGAAACTGAAGTAGTCTTCCTTCTGAAAAGACCTCTTCTTATATCCCACAACTCTTATGATCCTCCGAAGAGACCATACGTCTTTTGGGGGCTGAGCATGAGCCTTGAAAAACTCCTCTAGTCGGTTCAGCTCAATTGGGATTTGCATTTCCCTTGAGAGGTGAGGATGCAGTGGTGGGAAAACTGAATAATAGCGTGCATTTGGAGACATGGGTATATCCCACTGATATTCATCGGAGGAGGGAGGAGCTGTAGTTTGTTTGGGTACAAGTTCATCATCCTTCAATTGTCTGATGTCATCGACCCACAGAGTTATAGTGTGTTCCTTCATCTCTTTCTCACACACTGGAAAGGTTTTCATCGGACTCATTTGAGAAATCTCCAAAGGCATTTTGCCTTTATCATTGATGGGAGCTTTGGGGGTTTCAGGGAACTCTGGTGTGATTTGGACACGAGGCATGACAAATGAAGTGGGAGAAGATGGAATCTTTGGTGATTCGTGAATCTCACATTCAGTGGGAGGAATTGTGGTGTTTGGAGGTGGAGGAGGTGGTTGAGGTTTGGATACCACATCTATCTTGGGAGAAGGATAAGTTTCTGTAATCACCACGTTATCATCTTCTCCAGCTTCATCTACGAACCTTGAACCTTTTAAGTCGTCTATCAGGTCAAACACTTTTTGGAACGATTGAGGAACCTGTTTGCTTAGCTCATCATTGGACAGAGTCTTTGGAAGGACATCCACAGAATTTTGAACTTTCTGGATGGCAAATACGATTTCATCAAATCTTAAATTACAGGGTCTTAGCAGTTGTTGTACAGACTGTATTACTTTAACCAAAACAGCCTGAAGAATTATATTTTTGTTGCGATAATCACAGAGCTGCTCACTTAAACGGACAATCTCATCTCCATGTTGGTGGCCCACAGTGTTGGTGAGGTGGTCATACGACTGTTGAATTTCCTTCACCATTTTCAACATCTCATCCATCCGATCCAAATACTTAAATGTGTCATTGGTCCTCTTCTGCTCCATTTTCTTCAGAGCATCTGCAGTAGATTTGACAACTGATTCCCGAAGCGTCTTTTCCCTTGTCTCAAGATTAGGAACCCTTTGGGCTAAGGATGTCACAATCTTCTGCATTTCCCCAAACTCTTCCTTGCTCACAAATTTATCCTTAGATGGAGGGATCTTGTTTACAACCTCTAGAACCTGAGACAGCTTCTGGTTGAGGGAATTAAACTCCACCCTGGAGATATATTTGGATTTCTTCTTCTTCTTCTTCTTCCATTTAGTGCGTCTGCGAGGTGTGGATGTACCCACAGTTGTGGTAGGAAGAGTGTTGGGAAGTTCCTGACTTTCAGTTTCTGAAGTTGCCAAGAAAAGAGTAGATTTGGAGGGTTTGAGTGTCTCCATAATGGAGTGTGAATCAGAGTCTTGGATGAGTCCATCATCAGCAGCAAACACAAAGTCTTTTTCCATGTCTTGAGCAGACTCCATACCAGTCTTTGTGGATGGGTCCAAAGACATGGCATGCTTAAGAAGTTTGACAGAAGTCCGGGCCCACTCTTCCTCTTCCCTCTTTAGCTGCTCATCCCGCAAAATTCTTACTAATTTCTTTCGCTCCTCTTGTTTCTTAGCCTCGGCCTCTCTTAGAGCTTCAGTTTTCTCTCGTTCCTCTTGCTCTCTCTGCATCTTAGCCTTTAGCTCATCCTCTTTCCTCTTATTCTGCATTAAAATCTCTTTTCTTTTCTTTCTATATTCTGCATGTTTCGCAGCTTTCACTTTCTTCGATTCTTCCTTTTCCATCTCGTCTCTTATTCTCTGCTCTCTTAGCATTTGCTCATACGGATATATATTATAGTAGTATATCTGAGAAAATCTCTCTTGCTCAGCACTCAATATCTCCTCTCTTTCACTCTGCTCTCTTTTTTGCCTCTCTTGTTCATCTCTTGCTTGCCTTACACTCTCACTCTCTGACGCTCTCACCTCTGCCTCACCAATGGAAATTCCAAAGAACCCTGTTTGCAAGGGTTGGTGTGCCATAGAACTAGACTCTTGGCCTGGGTTTGAGCTTGATTTCAGCATAGGCTCAAAAACTCTTCCTTGGGGTCCTTGATCCTTAGTATTATGTCCAGGAGATCCCCATAAGTTCTTCTCAAGTTGGATAGTGTGGAAAGAAGAACTTGTCTCTGTAGCCTCAAGATTGATATGTGAGTGTATCCCTGGGGTCTGCTTTTGAGAGGAAGGGGGTGGTGTATGTGCTATATCCCCATTTTTTTGTGAGACATCATCTTCTTCTTCAGAGGATAAAGAGATGTTAGAGGTAGATGATTGTGACCCAATGGTAGGTCTTTTGGCTTGAGGGGAAATAATGTTCTCACATTTTCTTTTGGTTCCAAGACCAGTAGTCTTCTTTACATTCAAAGCAATTTGCTTTTTACGTGCAGGACTTGAAGTATGTCCTTCAGTAGGCCTAACTGGTTGTGCGAATTGGATAGGGTGTCCAGTTTCTGGAGGATCTGTTTCCTCTATATGTCTAATGAGAACTTCAGAGTTCTTTTCAATATATTGAAGCATTGCTTCAGGGAGACGAGCAACCTTCCCGAATTCAGCTTGATCTGGGATAGCATATCCGGATACAGTACCAGTAGTGAACATCTCTTCTCCTTCAGGTAATGAAACATTCAGTTTGGTATGCAACTTTTGGAGTGCAAGTGCCCAAAACCTTGCACAAGGAATCTCCTTCTTCCTTGGAAACACACAACCAGCAAAATCATTCCAGATAATGGTTCCAAAGTCCACTTCCTTCCCAGTGTAAATACCAAAAAGAAGTACAAGAAAAGCCCTACTTAGTGTGCTAGTTCCTCCAACCTTTCCTGTAAGACACCGCACAATAATGTGCACCAAAAAATGCCAAATGCCTGGAAGCTTACCTTTCAAGAAGTTTCTGGCCCATTCAAGCCTTGGAGGTAAATACCCCATTTGATCCAATACATCAAAGAGTTCTTCATTTGTGGGTTCATAGAATGTCTTTTTTTCCTTTCTCTCTGGAAGCCCAATGGCCTCCAGGAACTCAGCCTTCCAGAGTTTGATAGTGTTATCTTTACTGATGTCGAACTCGATGTACTCTTCATCAGAGTCATAAATGGCACTGGAGTATGCTGTGTGAATGATGCTTAAAGGAAACTCGATTGATTTAGTCAAGGGTTTGTGAATAGGGTGACTTTTTAGAAACTCAATAATTATATGGAGGGTAGGGTCAAACTTTTCAAGGTCAAGGTCTGCCTTAAGATTGCAGGAACCCACACGCAGTGCGACTTCTTGGAAAGAAGGCCCTGTCCTGGTCATCACCATGATTGGATTTTAGAGCAAATGGAATGAACACACGAGAGAACAGAGTGAAATATCTGAACTGTTGGAGAGAGAAATTAGGTGCTGATGGTTAAGAAGACAGGGCTTTGCTTCTGAATGACTTGGCTAAACCAGGACTTCTGCTTCTGTCTCTGCTCCATATTGAACACTGGGCACCAAAAGTACTCATATGTAAAATGTTCAGAACACTATAATACAGCAGTGGAGAATACAAGCAGACAGTAATCATACAGTCAGAAATCAACAGTTTGTTGCAACTCAAGGAAGACATGTAAGGGGTTGTTTCTTTTTTTATATATATTAAGTCCTGAATGGATAACGTGACTGAAATTATAATGATATCTGATTGTATACAGTAAGCTTGTTTCTTTTCTGAAATTAAAAAAACTGTCTGGGTATGAATAAATGTCCATTATACCCTCATACATAATATTTATCTTATAGTAAAATGACTATCAACTAAATAATTAATATATAGTTCGAAATATATGAATGATAAAAATATCTGATTATTAAAATCATGAATTATATTTTTCCTAGTTCTCCTTTTAAGTATTTAAACAAATAGTTTCATAGTTGGAAACACTTTGAATAATAAGTTATCTCTCGCTTATTCAGTAAGCCAAATGCTCACATCATTCAAACACAGGAGGTACATTTTTATTTGAGGTTTAATCTAATTTCAAGTTCAGGATTGACGAGCACTTAAAAAGAAATACAATGCAAGCTAAGAGAAATGTTGATGTTAAATTCGTATTAGGATCCAAATACATTATGATTTGACGGGGGTTTCTTGAAAAATTCAAAGAACAGAACAGCAATCTAAATTAACTCATGAGTGAATCGAAGAGAACGAACGAATTCCGATCTGTAAAAATTATATTTTCAATCAGGAAGAGAACAGTGACGAACTTTCTTTTTACGACATCTAAAGCGCATGACATAATAATATAATCATGTTGTTGAATTGATCATGAACTGACCTGAATACGTCGTTTCTTAGGTAAATTTCAACTGAAATTGAAGCGGAAGTTAAAACCCTAACATTTGAAAGAATTGGGGAAGACGAAGAGTTATTAGGGTCGGTTCACGGGTATTTATTTTCGCCCAATAATTGAACGGCGTGCATAATAATTGAACGAGGCGTGCTGACTCGCTGGTAGAGTGCTAGTACGGCCAAGGGTGTGAGCTAGGGATGCGTGTAGACTGAATACCCGAACCGAAACCGAAACCCGGACCGGATCAACCCGAATTAGGACCGAATAAGTTATTAGGGTCGGTTCACGGGTATTTATTTTCGCCCAATTCGGGTTTCGGGTTATTCGGTCGGGGTTACCCGAATAAAGACTTAATCGGGCCAAAAAGACCAACCCGGAATATAAATGTTCACTCTGGTGTGATCGTGCAAAAGACCCTTCGGTGATCGATCTTGCTATCAGCGTATCCCGCTATCATCGAAGTTTCAAAAAAAAAAAAAAAAAAAACGAGTTTGCCCTAGTCGACCATTGTTTCACCCTTGTTGGCATCGATCGTTCCCTGTTTCCATCGACTCATCAATCGTTCCCTGTTCCCTGATTCATCGACTTTGCTGACTTGCTGAGTTGCTGTGATCAATCGTTCCCACTTCCCAGTTACACCTTCGATCGTTCACTGTACTATCAAGTCAAGAAATCGATCACAAAAAAATCGAATTTCAATCTTAATCTCCAAGGAATCGACATATACTCTAGTATCAAGAAATCGAATTCCAATCTTAATCTCCAAGGAGTCATTCTAAATCATGGACAATTGGGTTCCAAGTCAACAAACTCAAGTAAGCTACTGTTATTCTTTTAATCTATTGTATACATTCAGACGATTTTAGTATGTCTTTGCCTTTGTATTTAGAAGCGATAAACAATCATCATCTTATACATTTCTTTCCTGATAAATCTCTACTTTTGAAGATTATGGGGCCTACTGTTTTGGATATGGATATGGTGGCCAGTGTTTTTCATAAAGTAAATATATATATATATATATATATATATATATATATATATATATATATATATATATATATATATATATATATATATATATATATATAGTTTACTTCATAATTGGTATTTCTTTTTCTTAAACCCCGAACTTGTGAAAGGTTTGATATTCAACACCAAATTGTGCAGTATGTTGGTTTTGCCTCTACTTGTTCCACCTCATGAGTACACAATTTTTTCAAGGTGTAGTATATTTTATAGACACACTTACATGTTTTCTTAATGCATGATGCATCTGTTTTTTATAAGTTATGAGTATGATACAAAACTAAATTACTTAAGTTGTCTGTTTTTCAGCTTCAGTTTATTTGCATAATAATAGTTGAAAATTGTACCCTCTTTCTCACTTTTCCATTTTCCTTTAGGGAACAATTTTGTTGTAATTATATTTATCTATATTTAATTAATGAGAAACAAGTAAGGGAAATTAACCAAATAACACATACAATCTTGTTAATGTCGTGGTACTGTTAAAGGGAGGAAATAGTTGAGTTGGACCAAGTATGTCACTAATTCTCCTGCAAAAAAGATGGGTAGTCATTAGCTAATAATTAACTTGATGGATATAAAAATATAAATTTTCAGGATGAACAATGTTAAAGAATATATTTTTCTATTTTATGATATTAAAATCATTTTGTTATTGTGTTTTAGATTGATGATGAAGATGTTTTTGTTGATAACACTCAAATTGACAACAAAGACGAAAAATATCAAACAACAAAGAAGAAGAAAAAATATGCCAAAAGAGCGGCTTGTTGGGCCGATTATGATGAAGTTGAGGTTAACAACGTTCAACATAGCAAATGCAAATGGTGTGAGATGTTGCTCAAAACTGAGTCCGGCGAAAACGGTACATTTAGTATGATTAGACATTCAAAAAGATGTAAACATAACCCAAAAAATTTAGAAGCAAATTTAAAAAAGCAAACCACTTTAAATTAAAAAAAAAATGAAAATGGGGAGGATAGTATTGGCACTTGGAAGCATGATGAGAAAAGAATATAAAAAAAAACTTTGTTAAACTTATTTGTAGTCGGAGAATTACCGTTCAAGTTTGGAGAGAATGAAGCATTTATTGAGTATACTGATGCATTGAACGGGAAAGTGGTTTTGCCATGTAGAACCACAGTTTCAAAAAGAGTTGTTGATTACTATGTTAAAGAAAAGGCAAAGTTGAATAAGTTCTTTAGTAATCCCCAAACAAATGTGCATTTGACCATCGATTGTTGGACAAGTTCATGTCAACGATCGAGCTATATGGTGGTCACGGCCAACTTTATTGATAAAGATTGGATCATACACAAAAGAGTTATCAACTTTAAATCTTTAGATAGTCATAGGGGAGAAGACAATGGGCGCACGTTGTTGACTTGTCTAGAAGAGTGGGGTATCAATAATGTAATGATCATAACCGTAGATAATGCTATTTCAAATGATAAAGTAATTAAATATCTAATGAAAAAACTATCGAACTTATACGATGGGAGGAAACAATTACACGTAAGGTGTATGGCCCACATCCTAAACCTTATTGTTAAGGATGGGTTTGATGAACACCAATCTAGTATTAAGTTCATGCAAAAGGCCGTTAGATATATTAGGAATTCCACTCAACGGATTCAAAGGTTCAAAGAATGCATGACAGAGTTAAATGTGGAATCCAATAAGTTTTTGTGCAATGATTCCCTAACCTATGGAACTCCACATACGAGTTATTGAAGATTGCGGTGGAGTTGGAGAAGGTTTTTGGAAAGTTTGAAGTTAAAGGTAATTCCATATTTCATTCTGTTCCATTCAATTGTTTTTTGTTTTTTTTTTTTAAAATCAGCATGTTTGTAGATTTTTATGTCCACTTTGACCAGTCATATCTTCTTCATTACCTGTCCAATTTGTCTAATTTTTTTTCCAGCATGTAGATCACAATTTAACATTCAGTTTACACTATTTTTATGCTATATTTGGTTATTCAATGAGATATAGGCCCTTAAACATAGTGTATTTAAGCTGTTTTTTCCGATTCAGCATGTTTGTAGATTTTTATGTCCACTTCAAACTGTCATATCTTATTCATTACCTGTTCAATTTGCCTAATTTTTTTCCAGCATGTAAATCACAATTTAACATTCAATTTACACTATTTTTATTCTATTTTTGGTTGTATATTCAATGAGATATAGGCCCTTAAACAGGAGGTATTAAAGTTGTGTTTTTTTTTTAAACCAACACTTATTTTATTTTAATAGATCCTACATATGTTCGAATTGTTGTGTCCCCCGTAGAAGAAGATTTCAGAATTTGTAGAGCAATGGTTGGATTTCTCGAGAAATTCAAGGTAAAAAACGACATAATATCGACGTCAACAAAACCTATGGCACATCGTTTTTTTGCAGAAATATGCGATGTGTACAAGCACATTAGAGATTGGGTGTCAACTCCTCAATTTTGCTTGAACGGGAAGGATATGATTGACAAATATGAAAAGTATTGGGCCGACCTTGAAAAATTAAATGACTTTTTGTACTTTGTGATCGTATTAGATCCACGGTTGAAGTTTGAGTTTCTTCAACAAGCCTTTGATAAGTTGATTAAGTTGAAGAATACTGGAGCACCTCCCATATTAAATTCGGAGGTCACTTTGAAGGCTAAGACCTTAATACGGGACATTGAAATTTTTTTTGAGAAATTTGGTTAATTTCTACAAAGAAAAGTTCGACAATACCGAGTCTTCTCAAAGTCAAACACGTGTTCATGAAGATGTAGTTATGCTTGATGATGAGAATGACTTCATGGGTGATTTAATAGTACAAGCGGATTACCCATCGGCATCTACAGAAACGGAGTTGACACGATACCTAAACGAGCGGTCACTTAAATACAATAAAATTTTTGACATTCTACTTTGGTGGAAACAAAATGCATCTCTTTACCTTATTCTAGCTC